CTTCCTTCCTTCCTTCCTTCCTTCCTTCCTTCCTTCCTTCCTTCCTTCCTTCCTTCCTTCCTTCCTTCCTTCCTTCATGTGTGCCGTGCATGGCATATCCATGCACCTGTGTGCACACATGTGAAGGCCAGAGCAGGGTCTCAGGCCCCTTCTGGAGGGGAGGGGAGTGTCTTTGTCTTTTTGCCTTAAGACAGGGTCTATCATTAGCCAGAAGCTCACCATTCTGGCTGAGCTGTCTGTCTGGCTAGTGAGCTCTCCGCATGCATCTGCCTTTCGCTGCCCCCTGAGGTTACGGGCACATGCAGCCACACAGGGCTGGTTGCTGGGGGTTCAGGTTCACACCCTCATGCTCACAGAACAGCCTCTCTTTCCCACTAAGGCATCTCCCCGATCCCTTTGGAGAGTTTTCTATTGATTTTCCCGTCATTTTCTTCCAGGGTCCTGCTAGCTGTGTTTACAATACTTGGAAACATTATATTTTCAGAGAAAGCCACTGGGGTGTCATCATTGACGAAGCAGGTGTACAGCTTCCCAGTTGTTTGGCAATTTATCTTAGGAAGGGGGTGCCCCTTCAGGAACCAAACACAGGGAATCTGGGCTCTGCAAATTTAGCTAATCTATGGTTTTTCCTTGGCTTCTAAAATACACAGCAACCCTTCCTTTTTGTGCTTTGAGCAGGCAGTGTGTTCTAAAATGGTTACAGGCACCTGGGAGCTTTGCCCAGAACCAGCTCTTCGGTGTTGGCCAGTGTTTACAATTCGGTGCCTAAAAGCCATGGGATGGAACTGGAGAAAGCTGAGGGGAGAGTTAAGTCTAAGCTGCTGTGTGACCTGAAGATATATCTCTGCCCTTCTACGGCTTTGAACATTGCCACCCCTACCCCTGACAAACAGGAGATCCCATTCTTAGCTCCCTTCCCCCACCCAGCTGGACCGTCCCACCATTCCTTTGAAGAGTATATTTGTAAGAGCCATTAAGCTAATAAGAAGTTAACCGGGAAGCAAACCCTCTGATCTGATTGACATGACATGTAGAAGTTCAAGTAAGAGCAACCCTGCGGACTCCCACTGGACGGGGAGGGAGGTAGTAGAGCCACTGTGTGCAAAGCCAAGGGCAGTCCCAGTTCTTCCTGGTGGACTCTGCGACCTTGGGCACATTCCTAACCCCTGTGAGGTGCACAGTGTAAGTGGGAAAGAGTATTAAGGAGCCTTTCTGTCTGAAGACAAATCTTATTATTACCTAAGTTCTAAGCAAGCATCACCCAGACAAAAGAAGTTGTCTAGCAGCAATGGGCATTTTCTGTACCCAAGGTCTTTCTCCGAGGGATTCGTGTCTGAGTTGAAAAAGAGCCTGGGTGACCTAATGTCAACTTCTGGCCTCTTCTGCTCAGCATTTCTGGCCTCTTCTGCGGTCTCTTGGGAGGTACCCATGGAAACACGGGGAGTTAGGCAAGAGGCTCTCAGCCATGCAGGAACCTACCCTTCTCTTTGATACTCTTCGTCCAGATTTGACAGGAGCTGTGAGCCCCCTGTGGAAAGGTCTAGAGCCGCCAGGGGCAGGTCCCGATAGGCCAAGTTCACCAGCTGCCCGGGAGCAATGCTCTTGGTTTCTTCATCTACTTGTTGGGAGATTATTTCAACTTCAGAAATCCCTCCTTCGATGGCAGGCCTGGGTGGAGGGGAGCAACAGGGAAGGGTTAGCCACTGAGAACAATATACTCTCTTCCCTATGTCAAGGGGGAGGGAGTAAAGGCACAGGAAGCTATGCTGTGCAGTACCAGAGGGCAAGGGAAGCATGAAGCTGCTATTCTTCCCCACTGACCAGCCAGGGATTGATCCAAGGGCCTGGTCAGTCACCTTTCCCCACCAGCTAGGGGGAATGGAAGGACCTGAACATGTGAGGTTTTGGGGGACAAGTTCTTTATGAAGCAGGGGAATAAGGACCCTCGAGTTAACCAGGAAAGAAAAGCTGCAGCTCTTTGTAGCCTGCGTCACTGGACTTTCTATTGCAGTATATGCTGAGAACCGTTGCATGGGGTTCTTTGCAAAGGTTCCATTGTCTGTCACAGTAGCAAAAGGCACTTTTACTCCCAACCGGATTCAGACTCTAGGTAGCCAGGAGCTTCTTGGAGACATATGGGCCTTGGGTGGTGAAGAGGGGAGTCCAGGACAGCTAAGATGCTTCTACTTTCCCATTCAAAGGGGTCTCACCAGATCTCCATTCTCAAGATTGGGGAGTGGGAAATTGGGGTCACCTGAGCAAACTGAGGAGTCTGGGTAAGTCTGTGTCTTACGCAGGCTTCTCTTGGGCACTGAAACTAATCCACAGCTTCACTGGCACACAGTACCCACCAGCCAGGGCCAGGGACACCTTCCAACCCACCAGGAGTTTTGTCAATTTGTGGAGGCATTTTTTTTTTTAATACCACTTGGTATCTGAGTAGGAATGGAGGCACGGACATCCTACAAGATGGTTAACAGCTGTGTTCTGTGCCAAACATCTCCCGATGAGAGATGCTCTTGGAGAGATGCAGGGTTGGAGACACTGACTGTCCCTTCCTGGGCATCTCTGGTCCCCTCTCCACATCTTTGGCCCTGTCTCATCCCGTAGAATCTGAGAGGCTGAGTCTCGTGTCTCTGGCCAAACAACAAAGCAAGGGAAAGTAGTGTACACAAAACAGTAAAAACTTCACGTTTGTGGGACACCGAGGGTCTGTGCAGGGGGAATGGAGGCCAGTGACAGTCCTGAGCCAACCGGTCTGCTGTAGATTGTTTTTGCGGCACTTTCCCCTGGCCTCTGTTTCTCTAACTGGAAAAGGCTTCCAGAGGACCCCTGTGGTCTGCTGTGATCTGAGAAGCCTGGCACATGTGAGAGCAGCTTCTCAGTGACAAGCCCCACTGGCTTGTCCCACTTGCTCTCCATGGGAAAACTCTAAATTTGAAGTGCTTCTAACGGTCTGAAACCCAACAAGCAATACACAGTGGCGGTTGTCTGGGGTGCTCAGAGCTGAATCTGCCTGCTTCCTTTGCTTGGGCTATTTGAGGGTTCCAGGGGGAGTACCGGGACCACCCACGCTCACTGGGTAATTCCCAATGCCCAGATAGGCTCTCGTAGCCCCCACCCCCCGGTTTTTCCTCCCTGCAGAGGACAGATAATAGTACTCATCACAGTGTGACATTTACAAAATGACTCACGAGCTTCAGACAGCACAGTCATCCGATGTGCAGCTCCGTGTTTCTCAACAATTGATCTAAAAGTGTGGGTGTTTCTGGGGGAACCCCAGTTACCCCAGATGTTTCCTAAAAAGTACATGCTGGGTTAGTTTGTTCTCTTAGGGACTATTCAAGGAAGCAGGATTTTTGAACAAACAGAGTTTTCTAATCAATGGGATCAGAGGAAGCTCTGCAACAAAGCCCACAGTGAAGGGCAGTCCCAGGCAAGATCAGCAGATCCACCTAGCTGATCGCCCCGCTATGGGACCTTGCGTTGTGCCACGCTGAGGGCTGTCACAGAGCACTGGGTGGCATCACGCTCCTGATGATGATGCTGAGGAGCCAGGCTCACAGCTAAAGGGGCTGGGACAGCAGAATGCAGTAGAAAAGGTGTTATTTTTTACCTTGGTATTGCTTACCAGTGAGTTGCCAGACACAAAATAAATTGCCCCCTGACGATGTACCACACTGACACCTGGTAAGGTGAAATGGTTCATCCATATGGCAGCTTGGGTTTCAGGAACTGCAAGCAACTGTCCTCTAAGGGACCTCTGCCTGGTGCCCTTTATGTCACTCTAGCCTGCTTTTAGAAACCCTCTTAGCATCTCCAACTCTCCTGCGATGCTCATCTTATTACCAGCCTTCGCATTGCCTGGTCTTATTCTGGGCTTTGCTTCCATTGCCAGGAGTAGCAGAACTTCATCTCACGAGAGGCTCGCAGCAATGTTCTAGATCCAGAGAGCAGGCTCTGACGGTACTTACTGTGGACTGGTCATGTTGAAAGATGCAACCAGAGCCATGGGTTTTCTTGACGTCTAGTGGGGCTCAGCTGTCCTTAAGCCTGATCTTGGCATTTCCCAGTGGGGCTTTTATAAGATTCATGAAAACAGCGTGCCCTGAAATGACAAATGGGCATTTATTACCTTCAGATCCCCAAATGAATTCCTCCTAATCTCATCTAAAAATGGAGGGCTTAGTGCTGTCTCCCATACAGCACCTTTCTGGATGGCGCTGCTGAATGGATCTTTTCAGTAATGCCACGGAGTGGTAAGGACAGGGCCATGCTTCTCCCTCTCCAACCCTCCAGGCGTCCTCGTTTACCCGCGTAATTCCCGCTAAGCTGCTGCACCCCCAAATCCCATCGTGAATTGTGATTCTGTCTCTCTTTTCTTCTCAGTTGAGTCATCAATGAGAGAGCCAGCAGACAGACAGCAGCAAAGGGGAGCTAGCCCGCGACCAGTCTGCTGAGGGCCAGAGCCTCACTTGCATCTACCTGCTCTGTTCTGTTTCCCCTCTACAAACAAGGGTGACACTGGAACCACCTAAAGGACGGATGCACAGAAGACACTTGGAACAGTAGCAAACTATGGAAGTGCTGGCTTCTACTACTGTATTTAGAGACTTTTATAAATTAAGATGGTATAAGCTGTTGAACCTGATCACATCCCCAAAGCTATCTGGAGATCCCAGATGCAATTTAGGTAAATAGTGTAAGCGTTTTATTTATTTATTTATTTTTTTACCAGCCAATGTAACAGTACACCACAGGTGGCCCCTCTGCGAGCTGGAATGATCCCGAAGAAAGGACGCAGGCAGACAGACCCTGCTCTAGATGTTTCCAGACAAGCCACTATGGAAGGGGTTCAGAGGGGAAATCCTTTTGGTAGGCTGCACCATGCACAAACTGCTGTTTCTACAAGAATTCCTCACAGCATAAAAACCTCATTCTCCCAACCTGAAATTCAGCTCAGAGAGGAGGCTCAGCTGGAGAGACAAAGGGAGAGCCACACAGAAGGAAAATGACTCAGGATGGGAAACACCAGGCACAGATGGCCAAGGAGGAGCTCAGCCTCATGATGCGGGAGGAACCCTGGGAGGCGCTGGACTTAGCATAAAAGAAAAGAAATGAGAGCTCTCGAAAAACTGCGTGGGGCTCAAGCCAGCAATCACCGGACACCAGAAGTTAGTAGGGGGTAAAATGACTTGGGACAAAGGGTTCGCGACAATTTGGGAGGCCGAGTTTGGACGATGCCTTGCGGACACACCTCACTAAGGTAAACGGTTTTCCCGGTCTCAGTAGACCTTAGCAAAGAGGTCTAAACGTTAAACAGAAGGCTGTCCTTAACGATATTTGGGGTTATATATTAATTATACAATAGATATCATAAAATTCACCACCCCACCACACAAATTTAATCAAATTTCAATTTTTTCTTCTCTTTGTGAACACTCTTATGATGTCTTCCTGGTATTGAGAGGATTCTCTTTCACTGCTAATGGTGTCAGAGTGGACGTACCTACAGCTGGGAGACAGGTGAGCAAAAGTTCTTTCCCAGGTGGGGTCTTCGCAAGCTGCCATGCCTAAATGAGCACCTGAAGTGCTAGATAAGGTAAGAACCCTGCGGAGGGTATTGCTGTGGAGGATACCGCAGGCAGCCCCTTTGTTCACACTCCTCCCAGACCGGCTGGGCTGGCCACTCAGAATATAGAAAACCCTACATACCTAACTAGGGAAGAGCAAACACTGATGACTCTATGATTAGAAATAATAAACATGAGCTTCTAGAACAATATAGCATGGTAAATATGAAACAGATAAAAGGGAAGAAAGTAAAATGGTAAGAATTTTAATTTCACTTTTAGGAAGGAAAATTTCAAATATTTACAGCATTGTAAAGAATTGAGTAATGCACCTCTAGGTCCTCACCACCCAACCTCAAAACTTAACAACAGTCTTGTTTCTTCTGTATACCTGTCCATTCCCGGCCCTTCATGATTATTTTGAAATATATCATAATAGTCCTGGATATCATCTTATTTATCTGAGGGTATTTCCATGTGTAGTGCTAAGGAACAAAAGGCTTCTTTATTTATTTTATACTGTAGTTTTATTGTTAGAGAATTTCACATAACATATCTTCTTGATCATTGTCTTAGTTACTTTGGTTTTGCTACAATAAGACACAATGTCAAAGGCAACTTATAGATTAAGAGTTTATTGGAACCTTACAGTTGCAGAGGGTACCAGTCCATGAGCATATGGTGGGGAGAATAGTACTAGGTAGGTAGGCATAGTTCTGGAGCTGTAACTGACAGCTTACATTTGATGATACATAAGCATGAGACAGACAGACAGACAAACACACACACATGGGGAGGGGGTGAGAACTAGGAATGGTGTGAGCTTTTGAAACCTCAAAGCCTGCCCCGAGTGACACACCTCCTCTAAAAAGGCTTATGCTCCTAAACAGTTCCACCTACTGGGGACCAAGTATTCAAACATATGAACCTACAGGGGGCGCTCTCATTCGAACTACCAGAGTTGTATTTCTCTGCCTCTCTCCCCTTCACTTCTCTTAGTGTTCTATCTATCTATCTATCTATCTATCTATCTATCTATCTATCTATCT